ACGACCTCCTGTATGCCATCTCCAAACTGGGGCCAGGTGAGAACATGGCAAACACCCCACAACCTCCTCAGTGCTCTAAAACCCTTCCAAAAAATTGATTCCTGTTTATTTATATTTCTGTGTCTTTTTGGTTTTATTTCTATTTTTATTATTTTTATTTTTATTTTTATTTTTATTTTTATTTCTATTTTTATTTTTATTTTTATTTCTATTTTTATTTTTATTTTTTTATTTTTTCTATTTTTATTTCTATTTCTATTTTTATTATTTCTATTTTTATTTCTATTTTTATTATTTTTATTTTTATTTCTATTTTTATTTTTATTTCTATTTCTATTTTTATTTCTATTTCTATTTTTATTTCTATTTCGATTTTTATTTCTATTTCGATTTTTATTTCTATTTTTATTTCTATTTTTATTTCTATTTCTATTTTTATTATTTTTATTTCTATTTTTATTTCTATTTTCATTTTTAGTTTTATTTTTATTTCTATATTTATTTCTATTTTTATTTCTGTTTTTATTTACATTTTTATTTCTGTTTTTACTTCTATTTATTTTTATTTCTATATATATTTCTATTTTTATTTCTGTTTTTATTTCTGTTTATTTTTATTTCTATTTTTATTTCTATTTATTTTTATTTCTATTTATTTCTAGTTATGTTTTTATTTATTTATAATTTGTTATTTATTTATATTATTTTAAAAAATATTTTTATTTCTATATTTATTTATATTTATATTTTCTTTGTTTATATTTTCTATTTATTTCTATTATTTCTCTTTATTTCTGTTTCTATTTATTTCTATTTATTTTATTTATTTCTGGTTTTGTTCCTGTTTATTTTTATTCCTATTTATTTTTATTTCTATTAATTTTTATTCCTATTTCTATTTTTTATTTTCTTCCTGTTCATATTTTCTATTTCTATTATTTGTATTTCTATTTGTTTCTATTTATATCTATTTATTTTTATCTATTTGTTTTTTTTTCTATTTATATTTATGTCTATTTATTTTATTTCTATTTTTATTTCTATTTTTACTTTCTTTCTGTTTATATTTTCTATTTATATTATTTCTATTTCTATTTATTTATATATATCTAAATATTTATTTTTATCTGTTTCTGTTTTTATTCCTGTTTATTTTTATTTCATTTATTTATATTTCTATTTATTTTTATACCTATTTCTATTTTTCTTTCTATTTTTCTTTTCTTTCTGTTTATATTTTCTATTTCTATTTATTTCTATTTCTGTTTATTCCTATTTCTCTTTCTATTTATTTTTATCTATTTCAGTTTTTATTCCTATTTATTTTTATTCCTATTTATTTTTATTCCTAGTTAATTTTGTTCTTAATTATTATGAAATATTGTTACCAAACATTTTATTTCACAATTTTTACATATTGTAAAATTTAGACACAATCTTTATATCTTATAAAATTTAGACACAAGTTTTAAAATATTATAAAATGTATATATATATTATAAAATTTAGACACAATTTTTAAATTTTTATATAATTTATACACAGTTTTTATACATTTCTACCCAATTTTTTATATAATTTTAAATTCATCCAGAACTTTTTACATTTTATCATTTTTCCATCCTGGAAAATCCACTTCCCATCAAATCCCTCTGGCTGCTCTCGATTTTTCCCCTTTATTCCTCCCCCGTTTTCCCATTTCCAACCCCATTCCAAAGGCTCCATGTCCTGTTCCCTCAGGAATCTTTCCCTCAGGAATCTTTCCTAAAGGAATTTTTCCCTCAGGAATTTTCCCTCAGGAATTTTTCCTTAAGGAATTTCTCCCCACTAAGGAATTTTTCCCATCGAGGGAATTTTGCCCCCTAAGGATTTTTTCCCACCTCAGGAATTTTTCCCCCCTAAGGAATTTTCCCCGCTAAGTTATTTTTCCCTAAAGAATTTTTCCCCCCAAAGGAATTTTTTCCTAAGGAATTTCTCCTACCTAAGGAATTTACCTTAAGGGATTTTCCCCCCCTAATTTATTTTTCCCTAAGTTATTTTTCCCCTAAGGAATTTTTCCCCCCTAAGGAGTTTCCCCCCTAAGGAATTTTCCCCTAAGGAATTTTTCACCCCTAAGGAATTTCCCCTAAGGAATTTTCCCCTAAAGAATTTTCCCCCCTAAGTTATTTTTCCCTAAGGAATTTTTCCCCCCTAAGGAATTTTCCCTAAGGAATTTTCCCCCCCTAATTTATTTTCCCCTAAGTTATTTTTCCCTAAGGAATTTTTCCCCCTAAGGAATTTTTCCCATCTCAGGAATTTTTCCCTAAGGAATTTTTCCCACCTCAGGATTATTTCCCCCCCTAAGGAATTTACCTTAAGGAATTTTCCCCCCCTAATTTATTTTTCCCTAAGTTATTTTTCCCCTAAGGAATTTTCCCCCCTAAGGAATTTTTCCCCCCCTAAGGAATTTTCCCTAAGGAATTTTTTCCTAAGGAATTTTTCCCCCCTAAGGAATTTCCCCTAAGGAATTTTCCCCCCTAAGGAATTTTCCCCCCTAAGGAATTTTCCCCTAAGGAATTTTTTCCTAAGGAATTTTTCCCTAAGGAATTTTTCCCTAAGGAATTCTGCTCCATTTCCAGGTGACAAGTACGAGCTGCACGCCGCCACTGCCACCACTCCCAGCGTTGTCGTTCACGTGTGCGACAGCGACAGCGACCTCGAGGGGGACACCAAGAAACCCAAACCCAAAATCATCCAGACCCGCCGGCCCGACTTCGCTCCCGCCCCCCTCAGCTGAGCTCCAGCCGCTTTTCCAAGGATTCCGAGGGAAAATCCCCCGGGGAAACGGCGCCTCCCGGCTTTGGCAGCAGCGAGGAGGAGAATTCCAAGCTAAGTTGGCTCCAAATGAAGGAATTCCAGGCTCAGTTTGGCTGCCGGGTGTTGATCCACGAATTCCCGGATCCCTGGGAACAAAGGATGGGAGAAGGGGACGTTTTGGGACATTACAGGACAACACTGGGATTCTTTTTTTAGGGGGAAAAGCAGCTGGGGGAGGCTTTCCTTGTTCTGATTCCCAGAAATCCTCCAGCTGATGGTTGTGTGGAAAAGCTTGGGATAACAGGGTTGGAAAAATGATGGGAATTTTGGGAATTTAACCCTTTTTCTGACACTAGGTTTTGTGCATGTTTCTTCTTGGTCTTCTCAAGTAATTTGCTTTTTTTTCTAGAGTTTCTCCCGAGTTTTTGGAAATCTGGGAATCAAGTATTTATTATCTCAGCATCCCAGAATTCCTCCTGGATGTGTACATACATGATATATTTATATTTGATTTTATTGGAGCTCCTTTTCCAGCAGGATCCAATTCCTCCAGCACCTGCTTTTTGGTGCTTTGGAAATTGTGCTTTTAAAATTTGAACCTTTAAAATTCCTGCAGAGGGTTTTGAAATTGTGCTTTTAAAATTTGAACCTTTGAAATTCCTGCAGAAGGTTTAGAAATTGTGCTTTTAAAATTTGAACCTTTAAAATTCCTGCAGAGGGTTTTTAACCTGGCAAAGCGATGGAAAAAAAAAGGTGCAATAGGAGAGTTGGTGGAATTCCATGGATTTTAAATTATTGGAAGTTAAGGTAATTTATATCTTTAATAAGATTTGTTTGGGAGCTTTGACTTTGGGAGGGAAAAGGACTCAAATAACGCTGATGGTGCATTTTCAGAGCTGGGGTGTTTTTGGGGAAAAAAAGAAATTGATGGAGAAACTTGAATCTGCATTTTTGGTGAGTAAAGATTTGATAGAGATTGGAAAAATTCCACCCAGGAAGCAGTGAGGAAAGCTGGAGTGCCTTTTCCTTATCCATTCCTACTCCAAGCTGCACACTTGGATCTTTTTCTACTGAATATCCAGAAATCTGAATTTTCTGAGCTTTGCTTCCAAACTCAGCTGGGATGAAACGTTTCTAAATGCCAAGAAATGCTGATTTAAGCAGTGGCAAATGTGGGAGAAGCTTTAGGGTTTTTTTATGGCAGTGTTTAAAGGCTCCTAAATGCAAATTTCAAAGAAGAAAGATGGCAGAAATATTTTATTACTGTTTTTTAAACTGGAGATCCTCACCTTGAAACAGGATTCAGGATTTTTGGGAAGAGGTAGGAGTTGCTATCCATGGAAAATACCACTTGCGGGTCCTGGAAAAGGGATGTTTGAGGCTCTCATTGTGTTTTTGGGAATCAAGCTGTGGCTCTCTCTTGGTTTGCTTTTGCCACACTTGGTTTGAGAAGCGATTGAAACAAATACTGCCTGAAATTCCTGGTTCTCACCTTGGTTTTTTTTTTTAATTAATATTTGTTTTAAAAAGAACAGAACCATTCCAGGCTCAGGGAAACAGGGTGTTCTGGAAGGCCTGGAATTCCTGACTGGAACAGAAATCTGGGCCTAGAGACCAGGAATACACTGAATTTTCTGCTCTAGCTTGGATTGTTATTCCCTGGAAACTGGAACAAAGCCTGGTTCTGGTGTCTGAGTGGCCCTGGTTCCCTGGGAGCTGTTGGGAAGAGCAGATTCCATGGATTGCTGGAGCTGGACACCCAGGAAAATCAGATTATTTTGGGTTACCCCCAGCTGGCTCCACGTGCTGCATTCGACACCCAAAAGAGAGGAATTAAGTGGAGGAAAAACTTGGGAGGTTTGTCACAACTGCCTTGAAGCCTTTCCAAGACTTTTCCACGTCTCTCAAACGACTGCTGGACTTTGTGTCTCACCACATCCAGTCCAAAACATTGGGAATAATCCCAGAAATCACAGCATGAGTTTGGCAGCACAAACCCAGGTGGCTGCTGCTGTGTTTCCTACAAAAGCAGAGCTGCTTTTCAATCCAAACCATCCAAAAAAGTCTGATTTTTGTTATTTGAATACCTGATCCCTGAGGTGGGAACCACAGAAATCTTGGAATGTTCCTGGTTGGATCTGCCACCTCCTGTCCTCTCGACTCCAGCGTGCTGCTTGCTTTTTTTCTGGTTCTTTTATTTTTGTAATGTTCCAATGGATGCTTAGTTGGTATTTTATACACTTGGATAGCACGGGGCAGATTGAAATTAAAATATTTTGTTGTCTTCTTGTAAATGTCCTGGTGTTTCCTGCATGGAACCACTCAAAGTTTGGCGCCAAAATGGGAATTTTCAGCTTCCAAAGGGGCAGAATGTTGTGCCAGGCCCTCATAAATTGATTCCCAGAAAAGCTTTTCCAGCTTTTCCAGAATTGCCTGATCTCCAAAAGTGAGAATCTGCTCAGGAATAAAACCCAGTGAGGGATATTCCAGTGAAAACCTGATTTTTCTGTGCCTCAAGTTCCTAATAAAGGTATCAAGGTCTTCCTGCTGCAAAATAATCCCTCTGCATTCATAATACATTAAATATTTTTATATATAAAAAAGAGAATAATTTGAGGAATATTTGAAGAATAATTTGAATTTTTTTCCAGAGAAGTTCTGGATTCCCCATCCCTGGAAATGTCCAGGGTCAGGTTGGATGGGGCTTGGAGCAATCTGGGTTAGTGGAAGGTGGAATGAGATGAGCTTTAAGGTCCCTCCATCCCAAAACATTCCATGATCCCATGATTTTTAAGCTCTTGGAATATGAAAATACATCTGTATTTAAATGGCTTTACCTAAAAACTTTTAAATCTTTTTGTTGCAAAAGAAATGAAGGAAAACCACAAAGGCTTTGATATGAAGGGATGGAAGTGCAAAAAGGAATTCCTGGTACTCAATTAAAGCCTTTCCTCGTTAGCAAGTGAAGGTAACGAGCTCTGAAGGAGCAGAGTTTGTTTTTAATCACTTTTGTTTTCCAGCACCCAGTGTAGGAACTTTGCTGTTTGAAACTGGATCAGTCCTTGTGTGCCAGGGGTGGGGAAGGAAGGAAGGAACTCCAGCAGCTCTGGAAACCTTTGAACAATTTTTGGATCATCTTTGAACAATTCCAGCAGGGATTTTGCCCTTGGCACCTTCACCTGCCTGCTCAAGTTCTGCTTTTTGCTTCTCTTGGGGAACACAAATTCTTCATTTCTGCTTTTATCCTGCCTTGCCCAACACACTTCAGGAAGATTTTCCAGAGAATTATTCCTTGCTAATGTTTTTAATAAATCATAATTGGCTCTGGAAAGACAAAACAATGATAAAGACATTCCCCAAGATGCTGGTAAAGAACATTTTGACATGAAACTTTCAGATAATTCCCAGTTTTCAGTGTTCCAGGGAGTGAGGCAGAGGTGACTCCAATGACAGGATGGAGCTGCCAGGGCTGGATTTATCTTCCCAGACAAAATTTCCATTGATAAGGGGGGGAGTCTCTAACATTCCAGACTTTCTGTCATGTTGAGATATTCCTGCCAGGAATTCCTTTTGTGTGGAGTTCCTTTGGAGCTGGAAAACACATCCTGGGAGGAGCAGCTGAGGGAGCTGGGGGGGTTGGAATGGGCCAGAGGAGGAACCTCAGTGCTCCCCAAAACTCCAGGAGGGGCAGGGAAAGGAGAGGAAACGGCCTCAAACTGCACCAGGGGAGGCTCAGATTGGAGACTGGGAAAGGAAAATGGGATTGGGATGAGCTGCCCAGGGCATGGTGGAGCCCCTGACTCTGGAATTGCCCAGGAGGAGTCTGGATGTGGCCCTTGGGGTGATGCTGGTACTGCTGGGGTGGGACTGGATGCTCCTGCAGGGCTCTTCCCACCTGGAATATTCCGGGATTAGAGTTTTAAAGCAGGAATAAAGCTCTGGCTCTGAAGGATTTTCAGAGGTACGAGGAGGTGCCCGTAGGTGGAGCTAAACACCCAACAACGGATTTATCCTGAATGAAACCAGCTCCAGGCTCAGCCTCCAGCTCTGGCTCCCATCCCCACAGCAGATGTGGAAAAGCTCTTTGCCATCCCTTCCAGCCCCCAGCATTCCATGATTTTGTGATCCCACCTTTACAAACTGCCTTTGTGCACTCCTCTTTGGAAATCTGTGCTTTGAAGGAGCACATGGGGCCACACACAGAGGCCGGTTCCAGATGGAAAAGGTGAATTTTGGGCACCACCTGAGGCTCCAGGGTGTGTGGGATTTACAAAACAGTCCATCCAAATAATTCCCTGATGGGAAGAGGGAAACTCAGAGCCCGTTCTAGAGCCTGAAGGGGCTCTGAGAAGGAGGGAGAGGGATTTTTACATGGGCAGAGAGTGCCAGGACAAGGGGAATTGTTTTAAATTGAATGAGGGCAGGGCTGGATGGGATTTTGGGCAGGAATTCTTCTCTGGCACGGGGTGCCCAGAGCAGCTGGGGCTGCCCCTGGATCCCAAGGCCAGGCTGGACATCCCACCTGGGATAGTGGAAGGTGTCCCTGCCTGATCCTGAAAATCCCTTCCTTCCATTCTCCTAAGTGAGAATTCTCTTCAACAGCAGCAAGGATTATTTTGACTTTTCCTAGGAGCTGAACCACGCAGGGTTGAGCCTTTCTAAGTAAAGCAATGATCCATTTATTGATGTTATTTGAGTGGGAAAATCCAGGACTTGCTATAAAAAGCAGCTTTTCCTGCTCAGCAGCACAACCCTCCCCAAAACTGTTCCAGTCCCTTCCCTGGAAGGTGGTGGAAGCCTGGATGGCTCCAGGTGCTGCCAAGGCATGGAAAGTTCTGGATTCCTCTCCCACACAGCCCAGTTTGGCAGGGGGATTACCACTGCCCTGTGCTGCACCTGCTCTTTAATCTGCAGGACAAATTCGAGCTCTCTCCTGAAGCAGCAGGAGCCTTTGGAGCTGGGAGGTGCAGGAATGCTGGGCTGGGAACTTCCTCAGCTCCCTTGGGAGCTGCTCTGTCATTAAAATCGTGTCAAAGTTTCCATTCTGCCCTGCAAGGAGAGAGTTGCCAGAGCTGAGCTCCTGGAGAAGGGAGGGTTACTCAGCAAATTGCTTGGGTGGTTTTTAATTAGGATTTTAATATCCTGTGGGTTTTTAGTGTTGTCTGAGACTTTGGAGTCTCAGCTGGGGCTCATCCAAATGGGTTCCAGACTTTTCCGGTGGGAACAGCATTCCTTGTGTCCCTTCTGGAAGGTTCCTTGAGCTCAGGCTGGGCCAGGGGAGGCTCAGGGTGGGCAGCAGCAGGAATTTGCCCATGGAAAGGGAGCTCAGGCCTTGGCAGGGGCTGCCCAGGGAGCTTTGCAGTGCCCATCCCTGCAGGTGCCCAAGGAAGGGCTGGACGTGGCACTCAGGGCTCTGGGCTGGGGACAAGGTGGGCATCGGGCACAGCTGGGACTCCCTGGGCTGCGAGGGCTTTTCCAGCACCAGGAATCTGTGAAATCCAGGACAGGACATCTTGGGCAGTGCCTTGTTCCAGCCAGAGCTGCCTTACACAGGCTGGAAATTCAATTAAAATCCAGATTTTTTCCCTGCAGCTTTTTTCCTCTCTAACAAGAAGTAAAATTCCTTCCAAGTGTCCTTCACCACACCTGCCCCAATTCCCTCCAGGACTCTCCATGTCCTGCCAGGCAGCAGCTTTGACCTTCAGGGTGAGAACCAGGAGGATCCTGCAATTCCCTGCTCCAGGAATTCTGTTCCTCGCATCCTCCACCAGGCACAGGGTGAGCACACAGCGTCTCAAATTGAGAAATGACTGCCATGCACAGAACTTTCCTTGCAGCTTTTTGAGTTCCCTGCTTGTTCCTGCAGCTCTTGAGATCAGGAGGAGCAGCTGAGGAAGGGTTGGAATGGGACAGATGATTCCAGAAGGAGGAGGAGGAGGAGGAG